GCAAGAAGAGCAAGGACAGTAGCGGAGGACTGTAGAGTTCACGGAAGGGAGGTAGCTGGAAATGACTGGAAAGACAGGATGGAGCCAAGTTCTAAAGGAATTTAAAAGGTCCACATAGGGTTTTATATTGGATGTGGAGGCAATCAGGAGCCACTAGAGGAAACTGAAAGGGGAGAAGGCTGGTGGTGACCTGGTCAGACTTGCTCTTCAGGAAAATCAGTTTGAAAGAGAAAGCCAGCTTCATTCCGTAGAATGCTGCATGTCAGGAGAACTGCCTAATAAGTAAAATCTGCCACTGGCTGTCTGGTTCCTAATATTTCCATTAGAGGCGGGCAGGGACCAGAGCAGTGACCACCAGTGGCCACCCTGTGGAGGTCGTGGGGCTGATAGGCATCACCACTGTGTCATCATGAGACATGGAAAGACTGAACAAGAAAAGGACCCAGCCTGGAATGGACCCCATAAATCCCCTTTCTTGATAGGAGCCACTCCAGTGTATTATAACTGTGCCATGCAAGCTGACTTTGACAGGATGCTTCCAAACATGGTTCCTGCCCTTCCATAATCACCCAGAAATGCATTGGCCTGCCACAGAAGCTGGTTGGATTTCACTGCTCTTCTCCTCTAAGGCTGGCCATGCACTTTTAGTTCTAAAAAGGAGGCTTAAAACAGTCTGGAGAGATAGAGACGGAACAGTATATTTTTCATATGTGTGCAAACACCCTCCTCCCTCCAGTGTGTCCATTCATCTCCCTGTCCTTTCCCTTTGAGGAAAATCAATAAGTCAGCAAACATTTATTAAGTGCCTACTATGTGTCAGACACTGTACTGACTACTGGGGATACAAAGAAAGGCAAAAACAATCCCTGCCCTCAGAGAGCTCACAGTCTAATGGGAGAGACAATGATAAAACAGCTTTGTACATACACGATATATACAAGATAAATTGGAGACCACTTCCAAAGGAAAGCACCTGGTAGTAATCCACCATCAAAGGGGGAATTTGAACCCTGGTACCAAGGGGCATGTCCATAGCCTACACAGGAAGATATAGCCAGTGGTTCTGAACACCCTGTAAAGCTCTCCAGTTTATAGGATCATAGATTTCAGACTGAAAAGGACCTTAGACTTCATCTTATTCAACCCTCTCATTTTTTAGGCCTAGAGAGGTTAAATAAAGTGCCCAAAGTCACACAAGTGGTAAATTGCTGAAGCAAGATTTCAACTCATATCCTCATACCTTTGCCAAGAAAACCCCAAATGGGGTCCTGAAGAGTCAGACATGACTCAAAAACGACTGAACGACAACCCAGGAGACGTAACCAGACCCTTCCCATCAATAGGCACAGCTCGCTCCTGCTCACTTTTTGTAGTTGATTGAATTACACCCGAGACAGGCAGCCAGAGTGAGAGAGGGCCAGTGATTGGCGCAGTGGGGGAGTCAGCCTTGGCTAGCAACCTGGCGTGTCAGGCGGGATGCAGCCCCGTTTATTTCTGCTGACATCTAATTACATTTTTTCCTCAACAGTTGTCATTGCCAGCTTCTTGACAGGACGCGGAATTATTTTTGAAGCCAATCATCCTATTGCGGGTGCCTTCCTCATTTGGCGCTCTGTAGCTGGATGGCTCTCGGGGAAAACAGACCCGATCTAGGGGAGACCGTAGGAGAGAACGGAAGCACCCAGTGACGTGCCATTTACCAGCTGCTTCCGTCTTATTGACTTTCATTAAAGGCATATGAGGCCTTATTGACAGAGCTGTCCCTTATCAGGGGATTTGACAAATGTTAACCAATTTGTAAACATGGAACCTTCCATAGATAGACAGTGGCTTAGAGCCCTGTAGGGCTGGAGACAGAAGGCCTAAATTCTAATCACAGGCCTACCACTACCTAATTCATTTTATGCCTGTGGGTCTCGGTCTCCCTCATCTTAAAATTGGGAAGTAGGGAGGAGGAGGAGTAGGAGGAGTGAATTAGTAATTAAAAATCTAAGAGTTGGATGTTTCCTTGGACTTAGAAGGGATTCCATTCAACAGTTCATTTCAACAAGCACCTACTATGTGCCAGGCATTGTGTTAAGTGCTGGAGATAATACAAAGACAACAGCAAAAAATGATTCTAGCCTCAAAAAATTACTAAGGAGATATAACATAGACACACAATTAAGTAAATACAACCTGAATAAAATAAAATGATAAGGAAATGGGGCAGGAGGAGTCAGTAAAAGCTGAGAGGGTGGAAAAGGCCACTTGTAGGATGTGGCATTTGAGCTAAACCCTGAAGGGGGCTAGTGGGGGTGGGGGATGGGTGGACAAGAGGTAGAGGTGAAGAGAGAAAACATTCCAAAGATGAGACTGGACGGCAGGAGATGGAGTGGTATGGAAAGAGGACAGCTGAAATGGAGAGTGCGTCAGGGAACAACACATCAAAATCAGCATGGGAAGATAGGTTGGAACCAGGTTGAGAAGGGCTTCAGATGTCAGAGGAGTGTGCGTTTTGTCTTAGAGATAATAGGGAGTCACAGAAGTTCTTGAGTGAAAGAGTGGCGAGGTCAGAGCTGTGTTTTATCATGGTGGGATGAAAGGGAAAAGGGAAATGGTCCCTGCCCTCAAGGAGCTTATATTCTCTAAGAAGCATCACGGTGTATTCTAAAGAACCTTGGATTTGTAATCACAGGGCCTGAGTTCAAATCCCAGCTCTGCTACTTATGACTTGTGTGATAACAAGCGACTCACTTTAGTACTGGGAATCCTTATTTCCTCCTGTGTAAAATTATGCCTTGTTCATAGTAGCCATTTAATTGAATTCAATCAAAGGGTCATTACCCTGAGCTCCTGACTGAGCTTATTCATTCTCTGTTTATCAGTTCAGGTTATACTTTGAGAGCCCCTTGTGAGGCCACATCCTCCCTAGCTTAGACTAGGCACTGGTCAAACGTAGAACCTTTTCATACAGGTGGTCCCTCCCGATGAACCTTGTTGACACAGTCAGTCCAAATTGGCCCTTCCATATGATATGTTTAAAGTGGCAATTCATAGCCTGTCTCCTGAGGCCAGTCTAACACTCTCTCCCCTCCATGCCACCATAGTGAGGTTCAACTCCCCTGCCACTAATATCATACCCAGGTATGCAATCTGGTTGTACTAGAAAATCAGGAGGGGAGGAATCTAAGAAAAGTATTCCAGCTTCTGAGGATTTTTTTTTATGTTGAGAATTCTCTATCAGCTGCACTTTGGTCCCTACTAGAAGTCTGTATTTTTTATTCCCTCTAAGAGACAACTGGAACCTTAACCTCTCAGCCTTGTTTCCCCTGGGGCACTGGAAAGTGTGGGAAATGAGACAGCGGAATTTTTCCATTTCTCCCCCAACCCCACCTCTGACGTTAAGATTCAATCCTATCCAAACTCTAGGACTGAACAGGGTTTAGTGGTATGTTTATTTCTTTCCTCACAGTAATTAGCACTTCAGCCTTTCTGTTGTAGTATTTATGTGTTTATGCGACAGAGTTAATTGTTTCCAAATGTACCAGCAACTCTAACTATAAATCAACCTAGAAATGTTGAATTTCATTAAGAGAAACAACTCATAAGTTGATTTAACAGACATATCCACAAATGACAATGGTGAACATTCAAGGAGGAATGAAAAGGCAACATTTCAATCAATCGACAAACATTTATTAAGCACCTACTATGTGCCGGGCACTGTGCTAAAGCACTGGGGATACCAGAAGAAGCCAAATATAGTCCCTGCCCTCAAGGACCTCACAGTCCAATGGAGATAATCAAATAGCACTGGAGAATGGTCAGCAGTGTGACCCAAGGGCCAATTGCTTGACCTCTACCTCAGTTTCCTCATTTGTAAAATGGAACCGATATTAGTTCTAGTACCTTGTTCATAAGGTTTTGGTGAGATGCCAGTGAAATAATATACATAAATCACTTTGTAAACCTTCAAGAGCAGCTATGATTATTTTCATTCAGACTTCTGCTGACTGTATACATGCCATATATATATATATATACATATATATATATCATATATATCATATATATATCATATGTATATGATGCCATCAAGCACCTAGTATTAGACGATCATAGACTTAGAGGTGGAAGGAACCTCCCAGGACATTGAGTTCAAACTATTCATTTTATAGCTAAAAAAAATGAGACCTGGAGAGGTTGAGGTTGGTGAGGTGAAAAGATAGAAGTGAAACAGTCCCTACCCTCAAGAAGCTTATATTCGCTGTTTTCACCACTACAGGGAGAGTTGCCCAAGGTCACACAAATAGTAAGAGGCAGAGGTAGAATTTGAACCCAGGTCCTCTGATCTCAGAATCTACCTGCCATGTATAGAACCAGGAAAGGCAATGAGTTGACTGTGTAGAAAAACTGAGGGATAATGGCTGAGCAGCTATTAAAAGACCATACTTCAGCTGCCTTCTTCCTCTATCCCTGTACCCCCTTCTTGCATTGGTGAGTTCTTCCAGGGCTCTCCTTTTCTGAGGAACCGATTGATCAATAAACGTGTGTTAAGCACCTGCTATGTGCCAAGCACTCTGTTAAGCACTAGAATGGCCTAGATGAGCCATCTTTGATTCTCCATCACCACCATGCTACTCTCCCCCACAAATCCCCCCTTTTCTTCTCTCCTTATATGTGCCATCTCATCCAATTAGAATATGAACTTCTTGTAGGGAGAGACTATCTTTTTGCTTGTATTCTATTTGTATCTACAGTGCTTAGCACACTTCTTAGCATGTAGTACGGGCTTAATAAATGTTTGTTGACTGACTTAATAGGACTGAATGACAGAAGAAAGAGGTCCAGCGTAAGGATATATCCCCCCACAGAGGATACATGGAAAGAAACAGATAAGAATCATAAAATATAGAAGACATAGATGAGGATGATCTGTCCAGGAGGAGGAAATGTTCACAGGCATGAGATCAGGGGTCTATTGTGTCGTTATGAAGTCAAGAGAGACTTGGGCTCACCTTCCAGCTCTTCACTTGCTAACTCTGAGACCTTAGGCAAGTCATTTCCCTTCCAAGGACCTCAGTCTCTCCATCTGCAAAATTAGAGAGTTGTACTAGATGACCTCTGAGGTATTGGGAAAAAGTTCAATTGAGCCAACATTTATAAAGTGCCTAATATCTTAGAACACTGTGCTAGGTGCTAGAGCTATAGAGATGGATTATCAAGCCAATGTTCCCTGCCTGTACAAATCTAATAGATAGGCTTTAATAGGGAGATACAAAATAATAATAATTAGCATTTATACACTCGCACATATATGCATATCTCATTTGATCTGTATGTGTATGTATATGTGTGTGTGTGTATATACATACACACACACACACACACACACACACACACACACACACACACACATATCATTTGAGCCTCACAACAACCCCGTAAGCTATGGGCTGCTATTATCCCCATTTTACATTTGAGGAAACTGAGACTTAGGGAAGTTAGGTGCCTGTCCAGGGTCACACAGTTAGTATCTGAGGGAGGATTCATACTCGGGTCTTCCTGACTCCATAAAGAACCCCATAATATAAAATAATGCATGGAAGGGGCATAAAAGGGGTCTAGATAAAGCACTCTAGAAGGTCTAAGGAAGGAACAGTTATTCCTGAAGGGAGCTGGAGTCCAGTATCTGAGAAGGCTTCAGAGAAGAGGGATCATGAAATCTGGGACTGGACGCATAGATGGGGATTTGGGGCAGGTTGGGGTGGGTGGGGGATAGAGATAAGCAAATGCTTTGAATTAATATTAATGAAATAAAATTAAACAGTTATGTTAATTAAGATTAAAAATTGATTCCCCTGCCCCCTTCACTGCTTGAATTCCTACTCATTGTTTAGGACCCAATTTAAATGCCACCACCACCCAGAAGCTTTCCCTGATTCCCCATCACCAACAGACCTCTTTGAACTTCACCCAGCACTTTATGTTGACGCTCTCTGATGCACTGATCATGTAATTCTACATATTATCATCAAATAAATGAATTAATAAGGAAGCATTTATGTAGTGCATAGGAAGTACTAAGTCCTGGGATCCAAACATAAACGCAAGGCTGCTACTTACATTCCAATAGGGGAAACATCACACATAGGGGCTTGTATGTATCTATGTTTAGGACCATACTTGGCTGTAAACTCTGTGAGGACACGGATTGCATTTTATCTAAACTTTAATATTCCTCCCTTCTATCCCTCTCCCTCCCCAATACAATAAGCATTTATTAAAAGTACCAGCAATTCGGGAGACCTTCAGTCAACACACATTCTTTAAAAGTACCTGCTTTGCGCCAGGAACCATGCCAAATTATGAGAATACAAAGATAGTAAGACAGCCCAGGCCCTAAAGAGGCCTATATTAAATTATACCAGGTGATAAAACATGGCAACAGATAATTACACACCTATTAATATAAGAAGAGAATACAATCATCTCAGAAAATGGGGAAGAGCTTGCTATGGGAGCAGACTGAAGCATAGATGGAACTAGGGAGTACGAGGGGCAGAGGGGAGGAAGGAGACCATTCTAGAGATGGCTGGGAGTGGGCCTGTATGGAGCTATCTATAACCCTGCTGCCAAAATCTCCATTCTCCTTCCCTTTTCTAGAAATTATTAGGGTACTTTGAACAGGTGGGAAACAGGAACTGCCTTCAAAAAAAGCCATAATAGCCACAAGAAGAACTGAAAAGAACTACTAAATAATCATACTTAGAATCTAGCCCAGGGGGAGCTCTGGATACAGAAAATACTTATTAAGAGTTAGCTTCTATGTTAGATGACTGAATGAATGAATGAATAAATGAAGTGAATTATGAATAAATTTTAGTGGTAGAATCAAAGAACCATCAACTTAGAGCTGGAAGAGACCTCAGAGACCATTTAGTGTAACCCACTCATTTCACAGATGAGGAAACTGAGGCCCATAGGAAGTTAGGTGATTTGCTCAAGGACATATAGATAAAACACATGACAGAACTAAGATTTACTTACTACAAATCCTTTGCTTTTTCTACTGTATCAATTAGTATTAGAAGATATTTTTGAAAGATCATACATGCAAGATGAACTCTGTAAGAGACTACATCACAAACATATATATTTTCAGTCAGAAAGAACAATTAGCAAATTGTTCAGGCTTAGCCTTTGACACCAAAAGTTATTCTACTTAAGTCCTGATAAGAGTTCTTAGCATAGGAAATCTCTGATGCTTGCTATTCTTCTGGGAAGAAAAAAAAGGTAGAAGTAGGAAAATCCAATATACTTATGAAATCAAAACTTAGTTTCATTTACTGATGGCCACTCACTCGAGGAAGGCCCAAGATGTTCACTAAACCGACAGGGAGCTTGCTTGTTTGAAGTGTAAACAGAGTATAATTTATTAATTTACTAATTATTCTTCCCTGCTGAGAAGCAACCCTATTACCAGCAATACGCCTGTAAGCGGGACATTACCATTCTTCAGGGTTTATTAGGCCCTGCAATGTACTCTATAAACGTTTTATGGAAGCATTATCTATCTATTGAAGATCTATTGAAGATTCTATTTACTGGTGAGTTAAGAGAACAGTACAATTGGGCACCCACCCTAATGCCTGGTAAGGGAAGTTTCTTAGCCTATAAAGTTAATTACTTTCTGTAGTCATAAAAACAGGGTTAATATGACAGAAAATCTAAGGCCAAACTGTTATCTCCAGCTCCTACAACCATTGGCATCTAGGGCATGGAAAGCCAACCCAGGCCTTTGCCCTCCTAGGCCAGGCAGTCATAGCAAGTGAACCATCCAGAGAAACACATTCCAGGTCAATTCTCCTGGGATTTTTAAATTGTCTATCAGGTTAATAGGATCGTAGCTTTAGATCTGAAAGGGACCTTGTAAGACCACATAGGGTCATAGGGCTGGAAGGGACCTCAGAGGCCATCCGGCCCAAACCCATAATTTTACAGATGAAAAAACTGAGGCAAAGAGATACTAAGTGACTCGACCAGGATCACACAGAGTCTCTCCCCACCCCACACACTGCCCCAGCTAGCCAAAGTTCGAGGTGATGTTAGCAGCCTATGAGAATGATAGAGTAGGCTTTAGATTTTAAAATTCTCCAACTCCAAGCCTCAGTTTGAGCCTGTCACCTTAAAGCAGGCCTTTGAGAGGCTCTAGTTATTAATGGACTCCCACCTCCCTTACTCTTAGGGCAGCATACTCACTATAGTATGGCCTGAGAAGGCAAAGTTATGGGGCAGATGAAAGAGTCCCTTATTCAACAGAAATAATATAAAGTGAAGGGGTCCAAGTTCATCAAGTTCTACAAGTATTTCCTGAAGAACGCTGTTGTTTGATTGTATATGACTCTTTAGGACCCTATCTGGGGTTTTCTTGGCAGAGATACTGGAGCGGTTTGACATTTCCTTCTCCAGCTCATTTTACAGGTGAGGAAACTGAGGCAAACAGGGTGAAGTGACTTGCCCAGGGTCACACAGCAACTAAGCGTCTGAGGTCAGATTTGAACTCAGAAGATGAATCTTCCTGACTCCAGGCCCTGCACTCTGTCTACACCAACTGAAGACCTTCTATGTGCTGAGTCCTAGGCATCGATAGCAATGTCTTAGGATCGATGCTATTGGTGGTAATGGAAGATTATGACAATGACCTTGATGATAATAGAGATCATGATGGCTACCATGATAAAAAAAGGATGAGCTGGTGAAGGTGATGATAAGGATGATGAAGATGGAGATGGAGTATTCCCCAATTTTTGCATAACCTTTATCCAAGGACTTGCCTATCTGTGGCCTCATGGTTAGTAGAGTATGTAGAAGATGAAAGATTGTCAACCAAAGGCAAAGTGAAGAGGACCTGAGTGGCCTGTCTCTCAGAACACTATTTGTAGAGTCCAAAAGTTGGAAAGGACCTGGGATGCCTTATAAAGGCAACCCCTAGATGAAGCTTGTATTTTACAAATAGGTCAGCTGAGGCCTAGGAAGGTTAAGTGACCTGCCCAAGGTCAAACAGCTGGTAAAACATCAGAGACGGGATTTGATTCTTTTTTCTAGGCAATTGGGGACTAAGTGACTTGCCTCAGCTAGTAAGGGTCAAGTGCTTGGTCTGAGGCCGGATTTGAACTCAGGTCCTCCTGACTTCAGGGCCAGTGCTCTATCCACTTCGCCACCTAGCTGCCCCCACCAGAGACAGATTAGAACCCAGGCCTTCTGATTCTTCCCAATTCTTAGGTATCTCTGATTGTGGGGAATTCTTCTTTATTTTGACTCTAAACTTGCCTCCCTGTTGCTTCCACCCATTGACCCTACTTCTGACTTCTGGAGACAAGCAAAATTAATGTAGATCCTTCTTCCATCCGGTAAAGATTTGAAGAGTGCAGTCGTGACCCCTAGTACAGATGGCATGGTACATTGATTAGGGCACTGGACTTGGTCAGGAAGGTCTGGGTTCCACTTCCATGTCAGACACTTACTCTCTGTATCACCTTGGCCAAGTCACTTAGCCCCTCTAGGTCTTGGTTTCTTCATCTGTCAAAGGAGAGGAATGAACCAGGGGACTTCTAAGACCCCTTTTAGCTCGAGATTCGTGACCCTGTGATCTCTCTGCAAAGGATCTGTGTTTCCTTCATACCTTTCACTGATTCAACCAGTACTCTATATATTGCCTACTCTACTAGGTCCTATGGGTGAAAAGAATAAGAAAAGACAGTTTCCTCCCACCATGGAACTTTTGGTCCATGTGCTTAGTAGAGTGCGAGGCACATAGTAGACGTGTAATAAAATTCATTTAATTGAATTGAAAGTTGAGAGAGGCATTTAACTCATGAAACATTATCTAATCATTACAGAGATGTCCCAAGGCAGTATGTTTTAACTGTCTGATGTGGGGTATAATTCTCATAATTCTAGTGGGAGACACAGTATGGCATAGTGAATGGAGAACTGGACTGGGAGCTAGGAAGGACCTGAGTTCAAATCCTGATGCTGCCCCTTCCTAGCAACGTGACCATGGATGGGCTTTCCCTTTCTGAACCTCTAT